TATGTAATGTGTGCCGCTTGTGGGTGTTTGTGCCTTTATCGTTGACACGGCGTGTGTTTGCAACCATCAAAATTTGACTTTTTCGCAAAACTTTTGCTTTTCTCCGCGTTGAGTGCGGCTGTTAGTGTGCTTCCAATGAAGCCGTACACGCTGCACTTCACTTTATTCTACGAATAGAATTCGCTGTAACATTCTAAGTACTTTTTGTTTACATATTTCTTTTATTCTATTTGGTTTTTGTACGCCTACCGCGCGTTGTACCAGAGCAAACTTTGGCGTTAACGTGCTCGAGCAGCCTCGAAAGCCCAATGAGATAAGAGATTATTTCGCACGTAGGCACGTTCAGCTTTCGTTATCCTGACTGGCATTTCTTGGATTGCCACCAACGCAGTGACACTTCCGCGCTTTTGAGTTCTCTTCTTAGAAGTGTTTGTGCAACAAAAAGCATTGGATGCTCGTAAACAGTGTTTTCAGCGGTACAGTGCTTTGGAATGTGAAAAATTGTGCGTAAAATTACGTAAAGCATTCGCGAGGCACTCGTATATGCATGTCAAATACAGTTATATACAGTTAGAAGGTCGAAAACGAATTTTCCACACTTTTTTCTATTAAAACTTTAACATTTGTCTATCCAATTTTTTTTTTTTTAACTTATTATGGTATCTTTTAACTGTATTTTAAGACTTAGTGTGAGTAAAAATATGTATTTGGAAAGGAACTCTAACTGATCTCCGGGAGCTCCTCTCAAAAAAGACGTTTTGCGATGACCAATATATCACTGAACTGAATCCTCTGAAAAATTAAAAAAGCAAACAGATTTCGTTAAATCTTGTAATTAATTGTAGGAAAAAGAAAAAAAACATTATGACAAAATGGTGGTTTCTAAAAAAATCGATTTTTGACCAGAATTTCGGCATTAAATTTTTTATGAAAAAAATACATATTGTTTAAAAAAAATTTATATTAATTACAAAGAATATATATTCAGAAAGCTCGTGTTAATAATAACTAATCGGTCAAACTAAACTAATAAAGTTTCGCTTTTTCAAATTTGCGTGTAACTTCGAAAATTGTCATCGAAACGATATGAAAGTTTCTGTGTGTATTCCTAAATACATGTACATACATTAAGAAAATAAAATAAATTAATAAACGATTTTTTTGAAAATTCGGACTGTATATGTTAATACAAAACGATTCAACTAACATTACTAATGTTAGAGCCTAAAAGTAGGCTAAAAAATTGCACGAAAGTATGATATATAATATCTGTTGAGCACTTACAGCTACATATGTCAAAAAAAAAAAAATATTTGTAATAATGTCGCAATGTCTGGTTTTATGGAAAAGTTGCAAAAAATTTGTTCACAAATGGCGCCTGTATAAAAATTAATAAATTTTACAACTTTCTTCTTTTTTACTTTTTTAATTTAAATTTGGGGTTATGTATAGTTTTAGGCATTGACAAATCTATGTTGTCTGAAAAGTCATCAGAATTTTCAACTAAATCGGTCCAGTACAACCACAGTAATTATCAACATCGTTTTGAAAGAGAAAATTTCGAGAAAAACTCTTAAAAGTTTCGCGTTAAGTCGTTTGTTCTTGTTGAATGAATATTTTTTTTATCTCATACGTTTTCTATCTAATGCGCACTGTTCTAGAGGGCTTAGACACAAAGACTAAAGATTAGTTCGTGCAAAAGCACGTGATATAGTAAAAATCTCTTTATCAAAACTAACGGTAATTTAAAGTATAAAATTCGAAGAATATTGCGTACAATTTTCAAGAAGAAATATTTAAAAACGCGGCAGTGGCAGTAATTATTCAAACGTGTCTTGGACTTACATATATCATCACTTATATCAAAATATCAAGATTGATTCGTTAGATAATAATTTTTCCCAAGAGTTTTGCGAAATTCCTAATTTTCAGTTTTTGAAACGTTTTATAGATGATTTTTCATGAAGTTGAGCTAGGTAAAGTTAGATGGCTGACCAAAGATCGCACGTGGACTGTCGTTTGTGAAAGCAGAGAAAAGAAGAACTCTGTGTTCGAAAATATCATTGTAAAAATCGCCGAAAACTTTCAAGTGTATGCTGATTTTATGAACTTAGTTGTACCATACATAATTTTTTAGCTCTCTTTTAGGCGGCTTTATAAAACTGTTATATCATCGGAGCCATATTTCTATATATGCAATAAAATAATTATAGAAAAAATCATGTCAAGCGATCTACTTATTTTAGACACTGTGCGAGCAACGAGTCTAAGCCACATATTCAACATACTTCCAATTACTTTGTATGCAGCTTTTAATGTGAAGTGAAGCGACGCGCCGAACAGATTTTTTTGGAAATCTGCAAACAGCGGCGTGCACGTATCAACCTTCAACAACACACCTACATCTATACACGAATATATGTATATATACTACATACAAGCTTACATGCAAAGTAAAATGCAAATATATTTATTCTTGTAGGTGTATCAAATAAAGGAGCAACAACAGGCCAACGTAGACTTCATGGCCATAACCTTAACTTTTGCCGCAACTCCCCCGCACCGACAGCTCAACGACTGCCCGTGCATGACATTTCTCCTTTTGGTTGTTAGTTGTTTGCAGATTTCCAAATCAAATTTTGCATGTGACTTTAACAAATTCGTCCTTGAAATATCAACGTATTTCGGTTGTTGCACACCGCCGCGTGGCTGCTGCTTCTTCTGCAAGGCACAGATTGATATTGCTCTGTCGCTGGTATGCTTGACAATGTTCGCTATATTTTTTTTTTATTTTTTGCATTATACGCCGTTAGCTCAATTTTTGCCCAAGTTTTATTTTTCTCGTATTTATTTCATTCAGTCAATTTTAGTTTTATAGCGCATTAGGTAAGAGAGCGCACGTAAAGGCATAGCTGGAAAACTGCAACGACGAAATTAAGCTATTCAAGAATGAGAGCGAATTGCTCGCGTTTGATGACAATGCTTGAGGCGAGAAAGTGGATTGATTTTTATTTCTTTACTTTGAATTTAAAACTTAATTTTTGGCATATTTTAAATGATATTTAATTTGCTTTTATAAAATTTTCCCGAAATTTTTTTCTGAGAAAACTTTTAAATTTATTGATCAAAAAATTTGTACACATACTATGGTATCTGTAAAATGTATTTTAAGACGTAGTATTTGTAAAAATATGAATTTGACCACTATATCTTTGAACTGGATCCTATGAAGTAAAACTTAAAACAGAGTTTTTTAAAGTAATGTTAAATCTAGTAAACAAAATCATAGGAAAAAGCAAAATAATATTTTCGGAAAAAATGCAAATATATTTATTCTTGTTTCTCAAAAAAATCGATTTTTGAACAAAATTTCGGCTTTAAATTTATAAAAAAATATATGTTAGTGAGAAAAAATCTTCGTTTCCTTTCTGAAAAAAAATATATTGAAGAAGCTCGTGTTAAAATTTGAGACTAGTCAGTTTAGCTGCTTTCGGGTAATGTTGGTCACCAACTTTGAAAACAAGTTTTTGAGAAAAACACGTTTAATTTTTGGCCTTAAACTTCCAAGCACTCTGAAACCTTTTCAAAATTACGTGCAGCTTCGACACCAGCACGATATGAAATTTTCTGTGAGTATTCTTAAATATAGGAAGTCCATATGTACATTAAGAAAATAAAATAAAATAAAAAAAATTTAAAATTCTAGATGTTAACAAATCCTTAATTGATATTGACCTAAGAAGTCTGCAGGAGCATTACATGCAATTTTTGTTATGAACTGAAAAGTGAAATTCCTCATAACCGAACACCCACCGCCGGGAGGTGTCTATATATGGAGGCGTGGCCTGTCGCAAAACTCCACAAATTAATAAACTTGTCCGTTTATCAGAGATAATTTGAAATGACCGTATCCGATTATAGGAATTGCTATTGTATGGAAATAATATAGAAAACGTTGTGTTCATGTTTGTCAAAACAAACAAAAAATGTTGATATCACATTAAACTATCAAAAGCTCCGATTGTCTAATAACAGCAAAGCCCTTGGAGGTATTCGATGTAATTGTAGTTCAATCTGTTCCCTAACTGAATTCGTCTTTATGCGTTACATTGGTTTGAATATCCATATATAAATATGTACCTACACACATATGTACCTGTTGTACGGCCGGCAATAATTCTTAACATCTTGTATTCTATTCCGTTATCGTGATTTCATGACTTCCTTTGCACTATAATTCATCATTCGCAAAAATATTTCATTAGCATCCCGGAAATCGGATGTTAAACCACTTTTTCACTCACTTTTTAAAAAATGGGTATATAAGGAGCCTATACCGCTGTGCGCACAATTTAACTTACTATGTACTCAAATAATATATAAAAAAATTTAACTTTATGTTCTTTAATTTATGAAATACTTGTGCGAATCATAATTTTAAACGAATTTTTCTACTGATTTGAACTGTCAAACGGTTAAGAAAAGCAAAATAGAGGAAAGATTAAAGAAAAATACAATTATACCCAACAGCGCGCATTTATGTATATCCTTAACCTAAGCATTTTCGCCGTTAAGAGGTACATATGCATGTAATGGTAATATAATATTTAGGTTAAAAAACTGTATTTTAATGCATAAACTGTTATTATGAATATTATGCAAACATTTCGGCTTTTCAAAGTATTACATCACAACCATAACATGATCTTTATTTTGACGCCGTTGAATCATAACACCGATTGCCTATAAATGACATTACCGGATTTGCTAAATAATAGTAATATTAAATTAACCTTACTTTAAACCATACTTTTAATAGCAAATATCATTATCAATTTTAAAATTTATTTCATTCTTTATTTCAATATTTATTATGTAAACGAAATTTGTGTCACAGCAGTTGTCATTGTAAAAGCATCGTTTCGATATCAGGTTTGGCAACCCTATATTTATCCACGCTTTATGTATTTTATTCCTTGTGCTGCGGTTCTTCATAAATTTCTTTTAATTTGCCAATTTCATTTTCGCCGCCACCGCTGCCTGCCACTAGTACGTCTGCGTCTGCAGGTCAACGCCTGGAAAAAACTTTGAAAATTGTTGAAAAATATTCCAAGTAACACAATAAATCAAAGAAAAACGTACCAAAAGGTGCAGAAAGTGTTGGTGATAAGGAAAAACAAAATAGTTTACAAAAAATTGCAGTGCTTTTGCAATTTATTGGTGCGAAAAACGCCGAAGTAATAAAAAAGAAGAAGAGCAGCTGCAAGAAGCATCACAAGGGGACAGCATTGCAAGCGTTGTTGCCAAAAGAAGGCGTTGGATACACACAACGAGGAAAGCTATCCAAAGACAGGGAAAGCAAAAAATCAAGAGTCGAGGCAAAGCAAAGTCGTGAAATAAAATCAATTATTTTAGGAAGGGGTACTAGAGTGGTAAGTATTTGATAAAGAACGCGCCTGGATATTTAGTTTATTAATCGATAACTAAATAAAACACTTCTTTGCGTTTTCTGCTTCCACGTGCTATATATTGGCAGCGCAAGTTTTGTTCCCGCTTTTACCGCTTATAAAATACCGGCCTGAAGTGTGTATACATCGGCAGCTAACCTACGCTTCGAATATAAAGCATTGATTTTCCACAATTGGAATTTGAATTCCTTGCTGAAGTGTTTGTGTTTTTACGTGTTAAATAAATTTCGCCGCTAAACTGTTTTGACGCGTTGTATACTGCAAAATGGGCGCGTACCTATCCGAACCGAAAACGGACAAGGTGTCTACGGACGAGTCTAATGATATTTTGACAGTGGGAGCTAGCTCTATGCAAGGTTGGCGCAATAATCAGGAAGTAAGAGATTAAACACATAAAAAAAGTAAAAGATTTTGATTTTAATAAGTTCATAATAATTTTTTTTATAATAGGACGCTCATAATTCCATTTTAAATTTCGATACAAATACCTCATTTTTTGCCGTTTACGATGGACATGGGGGCGCCGAAGTGGCTGCCTATTGTGCGGATCAGCTACCGCATTTTCTAAAGAAATTATCTACATACAAAGAAGGCGAATTTGAAAAGGCTTTAAAAGAAACATTTTTGGGTTTTGATAAGACACTGCTGGAACCACAAGTGGTAGAGATATTAAAGTTTTTGGCTGGCGAAAAAGGTTTTGATGGCGATGATAGTGATGCCCATGAGGATGATGAAGATTTTGAAGATTTGGCTGAGCTTCACGAAGAGAGTCATTTGCCTTTAGATGAAGTTTTGGAAAAATATAAAGGTGGACCATGCATGCCATCGCTAAAACGTGTTAAAGATGGAGCGTCTGGCGCTAAACCGCAATCGCCTTACTTGCGTGGTAGGCGCGCAGCTGCTGTTATAGCCGATGCTACAAATAAAGCAGTACTGGATCCAGAATCCAAACCAGAAGGATCCTCTACATCAGCTGCCGCCACGGCTGCTGCCATATCGGGCGAAAGTGGTCCCAGTTCTTCGCACAAACCATCATCTGTAGGTACATCGTCAAAGACAGATTCCATAACTTCCGAGTCAGGTCCAAGCTCATCAAATAGCGGCAATATAGCAAAAATGGACACAGATGAGCCCGAGGAGGATTCTACCGTCAGTAGCAGCAGCTCGAGTGCAAGTAAACCCACTAATAATGTTTCTGCTGAACCAGAAAACAACAAACCTGAAAGTAACACGGAAAAGAATTCTGCAAACGGTCCTGGAGCAACAGTGGCCTCTGACAGTGCATCGTCCTCGGAAAACAACAAGGAAGTTTGCCCGGATTCCTCGCATACCAAAGAGGTGGAACAGAACGGTAGTGTATCTTCATCAGAGAAAAAGCCAATTAAAAAACAGAATGCTGCAGGCGCAGAAATGGACACAACTGTCTCCGGTTCAAATGATGCTGCGAGGAGAATACAAAATGGCACCATTGGAAGTACATCATGCTCTGCAGCAAATAAACAAGTGGCTGGTAGCACTACAATAACTTCCACCAGTAAGGAATCCAAGAAGCTTAAGAAAACGGATGTAAGTGGAGAGGAAGATTCCACCGATGATGATGCCGATTACGAAGGTAAGTTGAATAGATTTTTTAGTTTCACAACTTAAATATATAATACTTTTTTAATACAGAGAATACTGAAGAAGGTGATGCTAGACACAGTTTGGTGTATTCCTCTGAAGACGAAGAAATTGAAGAAGGTACGCAAATTAATTTATTTCATAAGTGCAAAGGTTAACATGATTTTACTCCTTTGTTTAGCTGAGAATTCAAGTGTATATTCGTCGGATGAAGAGATTGAAGAAGAAGAGGGTAAGCTGTTCTTTTCACACAACTTTATAAAATTAATAGAAGTTTATTTTTTTTTGTTATTTTTAGAAGAGGATGAAGAAACCGCACTTGCCAACGAGCAATTCTGTGCCGATATGATTGAGGAGCCCGGCAAGGATAGTGGCTGCACTGCTGTTGTCGCACTATTAAATGGTCGAGATCTATATGTGGCGAACGCTGGCGATTCGCGATGTGTAGTGTGCCGCAACGGCAAAGCTATCGACATGAGTTTGGACCATAAGCCGGAAGATGAAGAGGAATCAGCGCGTATTATAAAAGCTGGTGGTCGGGTGACTTTAGATGGTCGTGTGAATGGTGGCTTAAATCTTTCCCGTGCTATTGGAGATCACGCTTACAAAATGGTAAACATGTCGGAAACAATTGAGTTTTAAAAATTTTTCAACATGAAATATGTTTTATTGCACAGAATTTGGAATTGCCCGCCGAAGCGCAAATGATATCTGCGTTACCGGATGTGCGAAAACTTATTATCACACCAGAGGACGAGTTCATGGTATTGGCTTGTGATGGCATTTGGAACTATTTATCTAGCGAGGAAGTTGTTGATTTTGTGCGTCAACGTTTGAAGGACGATTCAAAAAAGATGTCACAAATATGTGAGGAGGTAACCTAAAACAATTTTGTTAATTTTTTATAGAAATTGCTTAACTAACTTTTTATTTGTTTCTAAAGCTTTTTGATACATGTTTGGCTCCTAATACCATTGGCGATGGAACGGGCTGTGACAATATGACGGCAGTCATTGTACGCTTTGAATCTAAAATTTTGGATTTACCAACTAAACTAAGTCCCGAGGAAATTGTGCTTATTAAGGATGTTACCGCTAAAACTTCTAACACTAACACATGCACCCCAAAGAGTGAGCAGCCATGTCTTAAACGCGCAGCCTCCCCAAGTTCCGATGACAATTCCAACGAAGCCGAAAATGCCAACAAAACCAAACGTTTGAAGACTGACGAGGAAACCACCTCAACAACAACCAACACAAATAAGTCTACAGCTGAGACATCTGCATGCAGTAACAGCGATGCAGCGGCCAGTAGCAGCACTTCAGAGGCAGCGGCAGCAGTTGCAAGTATTACGGATCTAAAGGATTGCGATAGTAACACTACGGCCAGCAGCAATGATGCAGCGGATACTGATAATATCGCAGTGTCCTCGACGTAAATACATACATATATTATTTGTTAAAAGCCAGCAGTAATTGGAGTGTGTGTATTCCAAAATTGGTTGACTCCATTTAATATATAAAGAAGGGATTCTATGTTTAATTTTTAAGAAAATCACAAAATCTCGTCTGCATGAGAGTTCTAATTTTCACAATGACTAATATTAAGATTTTAAAGCGATTCGAGGGAGAATCAACAATACCAAGTTTACAGTGGATTCTTGTAATACCTTTTGTACGAAATATTGACCAATCCAATAGCAACAAGAACTGGAGTAATATTTTCTTGAGTTCAACATAAAAGTAAGGAATAAAATAAGCTCTCATTAGTGAAATTTCTAACAGCTCTAAGAGCGCATATTTTTATTTTGACTCAGTATACGTTTAGTTTTGGCATTGAAAGTTGTAACGTACACTCATTGCAGTCTAATTACACCGATGATAGTTTAGATCAACCTACCCTATTCGTAATTATCACAATTTTTTGTTGCATATCCGTAAGCATGACGTGCACGTACATACATACATATGCAGAAGTGCATCGTGGAAGGTGAATAATAGTGATGGCGGAGCAGCATTTTAATTTTCATATAATACACTTATATATTTTGTAAAGTAGATTACAGATAACTCGTACGTATACATATTCAAGAAGGAATAATTTTAATTAATTTACAAAATCAATATATACACAATGAAATGGTAAATAAAATGAAATAAAATACTTAGTTTTTAAATAAAGTAAGGTCCCCAACAGTTATAATAAAATGTGCAGTTTTTATGCTTTACGATTTTCGAATAAAGACAAAGGCGTGAGTATATGCATAAATATTTAAAAAACAAAATAAAGTTTGGTGTGTGTGACATGAAATCGAAGACAAATTGAATAAATTTCTATTTCTTGAAATTAATTAAGTCCGGAACTTAACAAAAAGTAGAAATATATGCAAATTCTCTACCTAACCGTTCTATAGACTCTGTCGACAGCATAAAAGCAGCTATTTGTCAAAATGATTAAAATTCATAACGTCAAAATCAGATTTTTTGTTTTGTTTTTATGATTAAAAAATCAATGTTTCAAAGATTTCAACAAATGAAAATGTATTTTTTGAGTGAGAGTTTTGTATTTAGTTCAGTTTTATTTGTAAATCACGCAAAATCAACAAAAGGTAAAGAAAAAATTCTTAAAAAAATAATTAATTTTTTTATATGAATTAAATTTTATATTCGTAAGAGGAAGCACGCTCTGGAATAACACAACCTGATATAATTAAAGCATGAATCGGTATCTATAGCATTAGCATTTCGCACACGTTAATAATTCCTCAAAAAATACGTGCAAATCAAAATCCAATAAAATTTATTACAAAATGTTTAATTCACGATATGGCAACTATGGTCTTGAAATATTTGTCAACTTGGTGCATTTGTGCTGTTTTCTGCTCCTCCCAAATATATATTTTAGTTTACAGCTGCATAGAAGTGTTTCTTCAAAATGGTGGAATTTTGATTTAACAAAGACTTTTAAATATACACAAACGCAAATCCGGAACATTAAAGTGATTTTTTAAATCGCTAACTCCCACACCAACACAATTTGCTCAACTGTTCTAGGTAGCAGTCTAGACAGCTTACAAAACCTGCAGTGACTTTATTAGAACATCTCATTCTGGTTTAAAGGTCGTCAAAATTGATACCGTCGCAATAATAACGTCGAGCACCTGCAACGCCAAAGATAGCGTTTGCAAAAGCTCTAGTGGCGTTAGTCTAGTGCCAAGTTGTAGTGGTGCCGTTGGAAAAGTGCAGTTAATTCCTGGACCAGGACTAGTGGCTACAACTAAAATGTCGGGTGATCAAAAAACTCTTCTAAAGGGACACTCATCACAGTATGTAAAGCTAAACGTGGGTGGAAGGTTGTACTATACAACAATTGGTACATTGACGAAACACGATACCATGTTAAGTGCAATGTTCAGCGGACGCATGGAAGTGCTAACAGATTCAGAGGGTAAGTGAACAAACATAAATTCTACAACGAAATTTATATTTATGTGTTCAAATTGTTAATGACTTAAACTTTAGGTTGGATTTTAATCGATCGTTGTGGCAATCATTTTGGCACCATACTGAACTATTTACGTGACGGTACTGTTCCACTACCAGAATCTCATAAAGAGATAGCCGAATTACTTGCCGAAGCAAAATATTATTGCATCACCGAATTAGCCATGTCTTGTGAGCGAGCACTTCTGGCACACCAGGAGCCCAAACCCATCTGCCGTATACCGTTAATTACTTCACAAAAGGAGGAGCAACTATTGATTAGTTCGTCGTCGAAGCCCGCAGTTATTTTGGTAGTACAGCGACAAAATAATAAATATTCGTATACAAGCACATCAGACGACAACTTACTGAAAAATATTGAACTTTTTGATAAGCTGTCTTTACGTTTCAATGAACGCATATTATTTATCAAAGATGTCATTGGACCTAGTGAAATATGTTGCTGGTCATTCTATGGTCATGGTAAAAAAGTCGCTGAAGTATGCTGCACATCAATTGTGTATGCCACCGACAGGAAGCATACTAAAGTCGAATTTCCCGAAGCGCGCATATATGAGGAAACGTTGCAAGTACTTTTGTATGAGAATCGTAATGCACCAGATCAAGAATTATTGCAGGCAACATCATCGGTGCGCGGAGCCGTGGCTGCGCCCGGTATGCAGCAGTATACCAGTGATGAGGAGGAAGAACGCACTAGTCTGGCGCGCTTACGTTCGAACAAACGCAACAATCCCACATGATTCATGAAACAATATGTTGGATGACAACGCACCGCTCTTCCCTAACTTTGGAGGGATGTTAGCGGAGGTAATGTGTAAATGGCCAAAGACATATACTATTATGGGGATATAAAAGCACCCGAGCGCGTTTAATATGATATAAAGACAAATTTACTCGTAAAATTAAAAAAATATATCAGAACACAAATGATCATACGTACGAAATCACTCAAAAGGTCAATATTACCTAAATCCTTAAAGAAATCTAGTAAAATACAACGCAACGACCTTTATTTGTCATGTTCGAGTTTTGCATATTAACATACATATTTTTATGAATCAATTCGTTAGAAATATTTTTTCACCACATAACACCATATAAATATGTTGTTGATCTGTTGGTTAACAATTCTACACGCTATAGTATTAAACGCACATACACGAACATTCTCATTATCAGTTTGCAATTTACAAATTGCTTTTTAGTTGTTTATTGTTTATACCATTCCGTTCGATACCGGTGGGAAACTGATAAACGCGGTTTAAATTTAAAACTAATAATTTTATACATACACACAGGCAAATTGTAAGACCCATATATAGCTTACATACCAACAAATGAGAATAATTGTATTGATGAATCAAATACTTTTACTAATAAAAAATAACACGGAAATAGCGAACGCACTTATAAACGTATAACTTACAACTATTGCAAAAAAAAAATATATATATATATATATGCGAAAAAAATGACTAGAAATATCTCACTTTAGTAAAATATCGTATAACCGCCAAAATTAATTTGTAGTAGTTGTAGATATGAGTCGGTTAAAAAATTTTTTGCGAAAGCTGTTAAATACGATTTTCTACAGATGTTACATGGAAAATGTTGTAAATAAAGGACGCATAAATAATTTTCTTACCTGTCAAAAGTTTCATCAGGATACTAACTGTTGTTGCTATGACAATTATTAAACGGGTAAACAAAACAATTTATAAAGGCACCTGAGGCTTAATTGTTCATAATAATTTAACCAATATTATTATGCACATTGAAATGTTTAATTAGCAAATCATTTATATTTAGCATCAGTAACCATAAAAATATGTCCGAGGAACTAGAGAAAGCCGGATTGTACATTGATGATATATATAGGCTGCGTGTCCAAGATCCAGCAATTGCCAACGAAACAAATGAATTGCGTGACGAGTGTTTGGAATATGCTGACAAATTGCAAGAATTCAAGAAATATGCCGAAGATTTTCATAATATTATAAGTGGCTTCGCAAAAGATGTTGAAAAGGAGAAATTGCGAGCTATCGGTACACAGAATTTGCTGAAAACTATTGCGAAGGAACGACAGGCTGAGCAGCAGGTGTACCAGAGTAAAATCCATGAGAAAAATATTGAATTAGAGAGATTGCGTAACGAATATCAGTACTTACAGCGCATAGAGTCAGAGCAGCAGGAAATCATTAATAATTTTTTGCTGAATCAGTGAAATCATAACACATACATACTTATAAACATTTTAAATAATTTCGGAATTGCTTATATACTAAATGTAATAGAAAACATAAATTTAAATTATTAAATATACTACAATAATTAGCACATTATTTGTCGAATATTTTGTACGTTTTTGCGGTAACATGCAAAGCTGCATAACGGCATATTTGTTTTGGAGCAATTATACACTTTTGGATTATTGCAACCAGTTATACCACACAATTGTACTTTGGGTGGTGAGATCGGCACTTGTGCTGCCAGTGGAAACTCGTGTTCAGCCGGTAAATGTATGTAGGCGCCATCTAATGTGTTACGATATATGATCATCGGTTGAGAAGTCTTTGTCGTTTTATTACGTGTCGCATTGCGCTGTTTACTCTCCTGTTTTTTCAGTAACCGTTCCATGGTTTTCTTCTTGTCCTTTTCACGTTTCTCATCTGCAAGTTGCTTGCGTTTTTGTGATTTTAGCTGAGCTTTTTGTATATCTTCTGCCGTAAGTGGTTTTTCTTTTTCACGATAGCCAGTCGGTAAAGACATAAGTAATTCTCCGCCAGGAGAAGGCTCCTTATCGGTATTACGTTCATACATTGCGCGTTGACGCGCTGTCATCAATTTTGGATCTTTCATCTTTTTCAGTTCATCATCCATTTCTTCTAACTTGCCGGACTCAATCGCCGTCAACCAGCGCTCTTCCTCACTGGAAGTGCTACTATCACGTCGTTTCTTTGACTTTTTGTTGTTTGATGCATTGAGGTTAGAACCAGATGTTGCAGATGCTGGTGGTGAGCTACTTGCAGTTGTACCAGTGGCAGTCTGTTGTTTTGGTACAGATTTCTTACTGCTGCTAGACGCATTTTTGCTACTATTCGCTTTTGTTGGAGTGTGTGTAGGAGTTGGGGTGCTGGGAGCTGATGTAGCTGTGGTGTTGGCAACCTCTTGTTCGTGATCAACTACATCGATCATTTCATCATCGTAAATTATTTCTTCTTTTAGCGATGGTGAGGATGTTGAAGTATTATTAAGATTAGGTGAAGCAGTGGCATGTTTAGTTTTTTTGCTGCGTTTGTGTTCTTTAAGATCTGTAAAAAGTATGTTGTGAGTAATTGGAAATAATTTTATAAAATATGTAGAGACATACCTTCTCGTTTTCCCATTGCAGAGTTATTTTAATAAATATGTACAAATAAATAATTAGCTTTATTTTGGATTAATAAATGTAAACAATTTCTTTACAGTGTCATCTGTCGACATATCGATAACAAACTCAGTGGCTCTAAACATTTTAAAACGCTCTAAAACCACCGTCCAAAATTATTGATACCGATGTTATAATTAATAAAATTAAGATCAGATTAAAATATTTTTATACGGTCCAATTACGTTGTGTATAAAAAATAATTGTTCTTCATGTAGTAATTTTAAAACTTCTAATTGCAACGAATAATTGTTCCTTAATGCAACCATGTGTTTATAGATGTCACCGTATCAACCCTACAAGTTAAGGTGTGAACTTGGTTGTGGTTTTCTCTTCCTTTTCTGTGAACGCTGCTAAAATGAAAGCCAAGGGACAGGTAATTTTTCCTCAAATTTGTTAAATTTTCATTAAAAATAAATGGTTTTTGCTAGAATATGATAATTGGAAGCAAAGATAAAAAGTGTAGTGCATAAGTGGCAACAAATAAATCTTGGAAACGCCCTTAAGATTTAAATTAGCATACCAACGTGCTTAAATCGGTGGCGAGGAGCTGTCATTTCTGATTAGACACGATGGGTAAAAACTTATGTGCGATTATTAACAAAAACTCTTTAATTGGTATTCTTAACACATGAAGTTCCAAACGCTTTGTGAACCGAGCATTTATTTTTTTACTTTGCTCTTAGAAGCCAGTTGTCAGAATTTCATTTTAACCTCAACTTATGGAAACCTATTTGTTTATTTCTGTAACTAATGTGTGTTTTTAATTTTCTCTTTACAGTTGAAAGAATACGAAGTGATTGGCCGCAAGTTGCCAACCGAGAAGGAGCCACAAACTCCTCTCTACAAAATGCGTATCTTTGCCCCGGATAACATCGTGGCCAAGTCGCGTTTCTGGTATTTCTTGCGTCAACTGAAGAAGTTCAAGAAGACCACCGGCGAAATTGTTTCATTGAAACAGGTCTACGAAACATCTCCAACCAAAATTAAGAACTTTGGCATCTGGTTGCGTTATGACTCCCGTTCAGGTACCCACAACATGTACCGTGAATATCGTGACTTGTCCGTTGGCGGTGCCGTGACACAATGCTACCGTGATATGGGTGCACGTCATCGTGCTCGTGCTCACTCAATTCAAATCATCAAGGTTGACTCTATCCCAGCCAGTAAGACACGTCGTGTCCATGTTAAACAATTCCACGATTCCAAGATCAAGTTCCCATTGGTGCAAAGAGTACACCACAAGGGCAACAGGAAATTATTCTCATACAGAAAGCCAAGAACTTACTTCCTGTAAGCTGCATTGTAGTTATTTTTTTAGCTTTTGATTTAAAATAAAAAAGTCGTTGAGACCGTGACTTGTGTGAAAAAAAGTGATTTTTGTTTTATTGTTAAAAGGTGTAAGTAGTGTGAGTAGTGTGTGAGAAGGGAAGTTCTGTTTATGATTTTTGTTATATCGCAAGGTAAACAAATTCAGTGACTTATTTCTTAGAGGCTGCAGTTAACAGTAGAGGAGATAAATTTAATAACAAATATTGATTTTGTATCTAATAAAGCTCTCAACATTAGATGTTATGTTTGTTGTTGTAATCCCCGCTTGGGTGATAAGGTTGTGGTTGGTTGCCATCGAAATCATCTAATTCGGGACAACGAAACATACTGGTTTGACGATGTCGGACCCATAGGAAGATTGGTGTTAGATGTGTGGCGTTTGCTGGGCATTCAAAGAGGTGGATAGGTGTTTAGACGTATGTGGGCAGAATCGATTATAAATATTTACAGTATCCAGAGCGAAGCCGAGCAAGGGTTCTTTGTTATATTATTTTAAAACTCTATCTCAGTAGAAGGTCCGCGCAAGAGAAGACCTCGTATCACCGTGGCTAGATATGACTAGCGAATCGCATGTGTGCCAAAAAAATACAAAAAAAATTATAGTGCAAAAACTATCATCATTGGACTCTAAAGGAATGGGTTATCGTTTTTGACCCGACAGATGGAAAAATTTACGTTCGGCGTCCGCAATATAAATAGTTTGAAGCACGGCGGCGGTAATATAATGTCATGGAGGGGTATTGGGCCTATAAGGAACTTGAAGGATTATCACCACTATATTCTTACGCTGAGAGATGTAATGCATTAATATTTTGACGACAATATGCCTGTTAGTTGTTTCAGAAAGATAACGACACCAAACATACCGCGATAGGCAACTAAACGGTGGATGGACGAAAATATGATTTCTTTATTAGGCACAAAGTCGAGAATTTCACCGAACAATTCGAAAATATAAAGATGGAATGGGAAATAATTACCAAAAACATGTGTTAGAAGTTAATTGAATCAAAGCATCGCTGCGGTTATTTAAAATAACGGCTTTTGCAATAAAAATATTAGTTTTTCAATAAAGAACAAAACAATTTTTAACAAAATAAAAAGCGTTGTTAATTATGTGATCGAGAGGTTTTGGTAGATCCTTTTTCACATAGTGAAAAATGCAGTGCATTATAAAATTTGCCACGAAGTTTGTAACACCCAGAAGAAAATATCAAGGATCCTTTAAAATATCAGAGGTTTTTCAATAAGAATGATATGATGAAGTACAATCGATACAATCAACTTCTGAATATTGATCATTCAAATGGCATTCTTTTGCAGGAATGAATGCGATGAACCCAATTTTCGAGTACCTTTTCCACTAAATTAAGTCGTATGTCATGAATAGTACGTTCACTATTGACTTCTAAAGCTTGAAGAGAGTCTGGTTTATTGCTAAAGATCAATGATTTCAAATAAGCCTAAAAGAAGTAGTCTAATGGTATTAAATCACAACTTCTCAAAGCCATTTGAAGTAAAAATTTCTTGAAATATCCAAACCTCCAAACTTTTCTGGCTATAATTCGATTGTTGCATTTGCTGTGTGGCACGTAGCCTTGTCTTGCTAGAACCAGATGTACCAAAGATCAACTTCTTAAAATTGTGGCCGTAAAAACTTTGTTATCAGCGATCTATGTATACCGATCCCAATGTGATGGATATTCATGTTTGCTTATTTAGGATACCACTCAGATGAAAGTGCGCCTCATTGTAGAAGATGATTTTCTTAAAAAAAATCGTTGCCGTTTTTCAAGCTGTTCCAAGGCAAAATCAGCAAATCCACGACATTTACAGTGGTCCAATCGCTTAAGTTCTTGAGTGAGAATTTCATATGGATGCAATTTCAAATTCTTTCTTAAAATCTGCTAAGTTGTGGTTTTAGACAGTCCCAATAAATAGCAGTCTTGCACTTGACCATGACATATTAGAACCCCGATATTTACTATATGTAAATTATGGGCATAGCGAGCTGAATAGACTTAGCCATGCCCGTCTGTCGATATCCCTATAGTGTACACGTAGTTGCCATTCAAACTGATCGATCAAAATCAAGTGCTTGTATGGAATTAAAATTTTATTTGGCAATATATTATATTTTCATGAAATTTGGCTTTGGTTATTTGCATCACATCAGGTACAAGATAAGTCAGGTGAATATATATCTCTTAATACTTGTTGTACAACAGAAAAAAATCTCCAAATAGTTCTGAGGAATGCTGCCGATTTGACCATCCGTGGATGTATAAAAATACGAGTCCTTTCCAATAACGTAGACTCGACTGTGTTGAGGACTGCGACGTTCGTAGTCTTTGAACAACGTTTACAAATCGTTCAACTTTATTACGAAAATCCACGTTCTTTAAAAAATGTATTTCGCGCGCTTCACTCAACTTATGGTCAACATAATCGCTTTTGAACCTCGAAATGGGTCACCCTTTATAATAACTAACATGATGTATTGAGTATTTTCCTGAGTGTTTTCCTGAGACGCAGAATGTCCTTTTTTTTTTGCCAACACCATACTCAGTTATGCTAAACGAAAAACTTATCATCACTCGATCCACTCACTTTTTGGGAAAGCACAATTAAAAGAGCACACGTAGTTTTAACCATTATTATATAAATAAAAAATACAATTATTACATAGTTTTTTTTTTTATTAAGTATAGTTTCAATTTATTTAAATCTCATACAATAATAGTAGCATTATGACTATGGATAATTACTATACATATTATTCTTACAGAAGTATTATGCATATCAAATTGCCACGCCCTTTGAACTACACTTTATAGTCACATATTTATGTTTATATGTCAATAAACAGTTAAGCTTCCAACGCAATAAATTTTTATTTTTAAATAAAAAAATACTTGGAAATTAAACAGTAAAGACTACAACTGAGAACAAAAACAATAAGTACAACAAGAAGCATAAATTTCACCAAAAAAAAAAGAAAACAGTTTATAAATCACGAAGGAATTTCAGGAAATCCGGCTTTATCACTTCGTAATCGGTGGCGTAAAGTGGCCGCAACGTGGAAATCCCTTTGGCACAGGTGGCCAATCGTTGGGCGTGCCCACCTGAAACACCATATTCATGCCGATCGCGATGTGAAATAGAAAATGGCAATGAAACAGCCAAACACCCGGATTGTCAGCACGAAACCGCAACACGGTATAACCGTTATTCGGCACCGCCACAGTATCCTTCAACGCGGGCTTGAGAAAGCGACGCTCCAACAGACCACGCCTATCCAACTCCAGCGCATGTTGCAGATTCATGCGTTGCAACTGCACGTCCGGTGAGCGACCCATGCCGAGCACAACGAATGGCGTGCCATGCAAATGAAACGGATGACTGATATTAATCTGCTGCACCTCATCCACAAGCACCACCTCGACGACGGCGTTCAACGGTATATCCACTTTATGCACGCACTGACAATTTTCACCACACCTGGCGGGACGATTGTCGCTGTTGCAAAAGTACTCGGGCGGTATATCGTTGTACTGCGAGAGTATGGCGGACGGTGCCGAGACATAGGAGACTTCATCGATTAATGAGACCAAGTGATCGGTATCCGAGGCGACTGTAAAATGGATAAGCGGGAGATTAGTATGCTTGTGTGTGGAGAGGTGGTGTGGGAGAGGGAAAACTTATGT